TATGGAACACCCTACATTTTTTCGATAAACCCACTCGTTTAGGAGTTACAGCCTATGGAAAAATGACTTCTGGTGTACATTTTACATCATGTAGCTCCTAAACAAGTAGGTTTATAGCGAAAATGCGATGAGTAAATAAGTCAAAGAAGTCTTAATATTGCATCCACCTTCCATAAAGACCATAAAATACACAGTTTTCCACTTTTCAAGTTTGCCACCATTTTGGAAAATGGCCGCCATTTTAAAAATAATAGAATTAATAGTTTTAACGAATTTTATGGTCTTTTTGGAATGTGGATGCAATATTAAGACTTATTTGACTTATTTACTTTTCGAAATAAACCTACTTGTTTAGGAGCTACATGATGTAAAATGTACACCGGAAGTCATTTTTCCATAGGCTGTAACTCCTAAACGAGTGGGTTTATCGAAAAAATGTAGGGTGTTGCATGAGAAATTTCAAAGTTGGCCGCCATTTTGGAAAATGGCGGCTGAATTTCGAAAAAATAAAATCATATTTTTAACTGCCACAAAAAATAAAGGAGTGTCCCCCATTTAAAGTTTTCTCTAATTCTTACCGTTTCCGATATCCCAATGGTGGCCTCCTTGAGTTGATCACCCTGAATATACTGCTTAGTATTATCATCGACTAGCATTAATAGTCAACGGTACAGTATTATCTTTGACTCTATTATTGGATATCATCAATGTCTATTATTATTACAACTGGATCGCGAGCTGTACTCCTTTTTTTGTACACACGTATCGGTCCGCCGCTCCCCCACCACGTAAGGTTGTTACTGTCTCTCTCTTACTCATTACGTCTTATGGCGTTTCCACGATTGCGTTCATAAAATACCCTATATCTCTGTTCATAGTGGCTCGATTGTCAATTTGTTTACACAGTTGTAATCTGCATGAAATTGCGGAGATTATGGTATATGTTTTATATGAAAATAACTCTTTTTTTTAGATTACAGTATATTAATTCTTAAATCTACTAAATACTGTTTGTTATTGCCACTTTTTAAATTAATTATAAAACTGTTATCAATACTAATGATTAATTAACTTAATTTAGCATACACACTCATGTTTTTAAAGTTTAATCTTATGTTTTTTATGCATTTGTGTAGGAGAGGAGCAATACTGCTGAGTATTAATAGTCAAAGGTATTATCATAGATAAAACATTTGGTTTGTCTATGGTATTATCATTGACTCTATTATTGGATACTGAAGTAGAGATTCCATCTATTTGGACCAGCTGTCGCCAATAAAAAAAAAAATAACATAGTGGTGTGAGCCAGTCACAGAGTGAGCTAGTGTCTAAAATTCCATTTCCTATATTATATTTTGTTGCTGACCAAGTTTATGGGTCAACATTTGAGTTATGGATCATTCCATATATGTTTGAATTGGTATGAAAGGTTCGTGGTTCGTGCATTACACATAGTAAATTTATTTATTTATTTATTTATTTATCCATATACGGTAAACACCATTTTACATTGTACATACATTGCAATTTTTTTTTACAGATGGCCAAAAAAAAGATATACTACTAAAATGATCAGCTATCTACTACCTACACTTAGAATTAACGAAACAAAGTTGAAAAAAATAAATATATGATAAATATCACAGCAAGTGGCAATAAAGAGTAGAGACTAGTTAACATGCAGGAACAATAATAACAATAAATATTGACGAAGTAGAGACTAACAATGAGCAAACCCAAAATTATGAAACACTACAAAATAATACATATTATGGAGGCAAAACCAGCAAATTTACAGAAAAAAAAAATAACAATGTGCAAAAGGTACGGTAAACTCTGAAGAAATATAAAAACTTAACAATGAGGTAACAACAAGACAGACCATAATATTAATAAATATGAAAAAGTAAGCACATAAGTGAGGGGAGTCGACGGCCCCAACACTACCACACACTTGAACAAAACATGCACTCACTGGCTTGGAAGTGAGGGGAGTCGACGGCCCCAACACTACCACACACTTGCACAGAAACATGCACTCACTGGCTCGGAAGTGAGGGGAGTCGACGGCCCCAACACTAAGTCATCGCCACACTCCTAACGAAAAGCTAATTAAAAAATAAATCAAACATGCACATGCTCCTCTGACGAGTAGAAGTTGGTTAGCTCCCTCCTAAGACGATTCTCGGAGAACTGAATGAGGTCGATGTAACTGGGCAGGCTGTTTCCCAGACGATGAAGGCGAGGCAGAGCACTGTGGTAAGAATATTGAGTCGAACAATGAGCTCTCTCAAAGAGTCCTCTGGATCGAACCACACGAGCACAACGAAAATCAACCCTGCTCAGCAAATCCGGTGAATCAACCGAGGCTGTGATGATCTTCTTTAAGAGCAGCAGATCAAAGATTTTGCGTCTCGAACTCAGAGGAAGAAGTCCAAACCGACGTTCCATCTCATCCAGTGGTACTTCAAGGTAGCGAAAGCCCAGACTCACTCCAAGTACTCGGAGAAATTTTCTCTGTACACCCTCGAGAAGATCAACATGGCATATCAGGTATGGTGACCAAACTGGTGAGCAGTACTCCAACAAAGGGCGAACCAGCTGCACATACAAAGTCCTTAGGGCATGAGGTGAAAACCCATCTCGAGACATTCTGACAACAAATCCCAGAGCAGAATAAGCCTTCTTACTTATGTTTCTTAAGTGAGGTTCTGGACTTAGATTCGAGGAAACAGTTACTCCCAGATCTTTCACTGTAGAAGATCGGCGGAGAGTCGAATCAAATAAGGTATAGTTGAACACCGTTACATTCGTGCGCCGAGAGAAAGAGAGTACAACGCACTTAGATATGTTCAACTCCATCTCATTCTCCGAACACCACCGCAGCACACTGTCCAAGTCACTTTGCAGCTCCTCACATTCAAAGTCCGTTGTTACTTCCTTATAGATTTTAGCATCATCTGCAAACAGCAACACTCTTGAATCCTTGACAGCATGGACTAGGTCGTTAATAAAGATTGAAAACAGTACAGGACCCAAAAGCGAGCCCTGTGGCACTCCAGATAACACAGGAAAGGCTTCCGACTCAGACCCATTATATCTTACAATAAGGTAGCGTCCACTAATATAGCTCCGAAACCACTTCAGCATAGGTCCAGCCACTCCCAAAATACCAAGCTTTGCCATAAGGTGATCATGGCTGATTCTATCGAATGCCTTTGAGAAATCTATATACACACTATCCACCTGGTGGTTTCTATTGAAAGCTGAGATAATGTCGTCATGATATGTTATTAAGTTTGTCGTTGAGGATCTGCCACTATAGAATCCATGTTGAGCTGTAGACAGAAAACTTCTGGCAAAGAAAGACAGACGAGTAAGAACCAGAGACTCAAACACTTTCGCAAGCGTTGGCTGAATCGCAATAGGCCTGTAATTCTTGATATCCGAGGGATTACCACTCTTTAAAATTGGTACAACGAAGCTTGTCTTCAGGCAGTTAGGAAAAACACCAGATGAAAGAAATGAATTAAAGAAGATTGTTATGTGCGGTGCAAGAATACAGCTACAGTACTTGAGTAGCGATGGAGGAATCTCATCGGGTCCTGCTCCTTTATTAGCATTCAGAGAGGACAAGACAGCTTCAACTTCTTCACATGATACAGTAAACCCAGTAAGAGATGAGAGGATTGTAATTGAGTCTTCATATGAGGGAGACGTTGATGGTGGTCTAAAGACAGACGAGAAATGTTCAGCAAAAAGTCTGCAGATGTGCTGAGGTGTGTCGGCAGATTCACTATTCAGGTACATCGAAGATACAGCCCTGGAAGTGTTCTTGGTGTTATTAATGTGACCCCAGAAGGCCTTAATATTTTCTTGCATGGAATCTTCTACCCGATTGATGTAGTTTCTGTAGCAAATCACAGTGAGTTGTTTACATTGAGTTCGTACACGACAGAAATCCATATAAATTTGTAAGTTTAAAGTCCTTTTGTAATCTCTATGAAGTAGCTTTTTTTGTAGAACTAGTCTCTTCAAGTCTTGAGAAAACCAACAAGGAAATGTAGATTTACCAAGACATTTTAGTGGAGTGAATGATTTTATTAGGAGGCTTAGCCTGGAACAAAAAGCCATAAATGACGATTCCATGTCCTCGACACAACTCAGTAATGGATACTCCCAATTTTGTAGATTATTGAATATTTCTTCTTTGTTGCTCTTGTTGAAGTCTAGCTTGTATGTTAAGTTTCTTGACCGTAATCTACCCGGGCATTTGATTTCAATTTCAAGGGAAGGGTGATGTGATTCAACCGGGACCAAAGGATCCAAGGCCTGAGTAACCTCAAATTACAATTAATTAGGCTGTTAATAGTAATTTAGATTACTACAATCTGTCGGTGGACCACGCATCGAACGACGATTTTGATAAAAAAAAATATAAAAGAACATCAACAACGCAGGAAGTCTATCATAGTCAAAGCTACTAGATCTAGATATACTGCGCATTGACAGCGACCCGTTAATAGTCAGGATTGCAATTTCTTGGTTATTTCAAAATCCTACTCGGTAATGATCATTGATTAATTTATTTATTTCTATGTCAACTAAATACTACATTTTCTTGTGCAGATAAATTAATGTAGGCCTACTTAATCCAAAAGATGTCAGTGCAACCATAGATTAAATATACCCCCACGTTCTATTGAAAAATCTGGGCTCATGCGTATGATAAGATTAAAGATATGTTATAGAAATGGATTTTTGTAAAACAAATACTAGTGTTTGAGCTACTACCGATCCAAAATATTAAATTATATTTAGTTCTGTTATTTAAGAGGGCTATTTCTAAATCAATATGACAATAATTTTACTACTCGTATGTCATGTTGGCAGTTTTCCTTTTTTCTCATACCAACCAGACCCATGGAAAGTAAAACAGTGAGCAAAACCGAGACCCAATCAAATTCCAGCCAGTGAGTCAGACGCAGTTCCCCAGTTCCAGTACCACCCAAAACCCAACCCCCCAATCCAATCCAGTCCAATTCTTCCAGAATCTTTTGGAATTCGGATTCGGAAGTCGGAACTTCGGAACAATTTTTAATCATGTCGGTTCCTGACGGCAATTTTAACTCAGATTCCAGCAAAATTATAAAGAGTGACGACAAACCTGATCTCATTGAAGAAGATACGAACGACAAGAGTCAAAGTAAAATGGAAAAGGTAAGCAAAGTTTTTATCAAATAAATGTTATTGTTGTAGACCTACACTTATTCCAGGCTAGCATTCCGACTAGGCTTACTAACACTGTCCTACATAGACCCAATTACGATTGTAGATTTCCTTACTTTAGGGGTAACTTACCTAAGTTGGCGATAAAATCTGTTATAGGATTGATTGTAGATTCAACCACTGGATGAAACAAGCTGGTTTTCATCATATCAACTCTGTTCTCCATTGTTAGCCCTAGTTGCTTTTTTAGGTTATGTTATTGACATGAGGCCAGATTTGGGTGTAGGTTAGCCTTCTTGTAATTTACATTCAATTAGGCCTAAGATATTCATTTTCAACAAACCACATTAGGAACCCTGAACACATTAACGTAATATATTTTCCAAATAGGCAATAGGCTAGGCTAAGTTAGTTCCAGGCATTGAACTTGCTTGACAACACCGACACAATTTACAGGCCCTTTCGATTTTTGTTAAGTATTTAGTTTCAAAATACTGTAGCCTAATTGTTGATGACAGTGCTTAACAGTTAACTTACCTATTTTTGATATCCCGAACATTACTCGTTTCATAATAACTTACCAAATACAAAAAAGTTCCAGGTTAGCCTTGCCTACTCAGGTCTCAACTTACTAAGGCCTAACTTAAATTACTAGGCCTACTACTAATTTAGTGTAGCCTAGTTGGGCCTAGGACTACTTACTAACACAGAGAAGTAAGAAACAGAAGATATTCTTAATGGTACACTTAAGTTGTGGAGTACAGTTCCGCAGAGAGTCTGTGAAATATTATCGGATGAATAAGTTTAGGCCCTAACAATAAATAAGTTTATCGATGTTTATCAAATTCAATAAGTTACATCGATTAAAAATTATTGTTTACCGGTATTTATTTTCCGAATGTACTCAGGTTAAACAATGAATTGATTTATTATTTATTTGTTAACGTTTTTTTAGGCCCTAACAAAAACTAACAATAAGTTATTTAGGTTAACAAAAAATTTGTGACGCAAAATTCTAAGGGGGGAATAAACTAGTAGCCTAACTTAGGCCTATTCACCAAAGTAAGGCTAACTTAGGCCCCTAGAACCAGCTACACTCAAATTTCTTCCAGTGCCCAGAAAGTGCTCAGAAGGAGCCGAGAAAAATCCTAGGGTCGATACAAAGTTATTAATAGTTTTGACTGATCAATTTATCAAATTTAATCGAAGGCTCAGAGCTCTAGAAGCGCTCAGGAAATAATTTTCGATATTTCGACCAACGAAAATCGATGTATCGCATCTAGTAACTTTCGACTCAATGTTAATATATGGGTTAAAAGAATCCGAGTATCCATTCGGTTGTTATGACAACTGTTCGATCATTACGAAACGTCCGGTCAGCCGGACGTTGGCACTTTTGGCTCATTCTAAAAACGTCCGGTCGGCCGGACGTCGGCACTTTTGGCTCGTTTTAAAAACGTCCGGTTCCCCGGACGTTGGCACTCAAAGGGTTAAAACGATGAATTAACAAAGTAATAATTGTTTGTTGAGCGAACGGAGAAATTGTAACTTTGAACCTAATTCATTAAAATAAAACCAAACGATAGCCATAGCTAGGTAGTCAATGTCAGGATGGAACTGGTGGGTCTAGACTCAAGACGGTGAAATTTAAGTGATTTAAAATCAAATTTTTCGGAATGTAAATGCATCTGGATTAAGGGAAAAAAGTAAACAAAACATGAATGTAAGATCATCTAATATATCTTACTTTCCGATTACCGGAGTGTAGATCGTAGAAGTATCGTAAGCACTCGAGAGCGTAAGACGTTGTAATATTACATGTCATTCATTCATCATTAACATTAATTTCTCTATTATTTTGTATATTTTCTCTCATAATGTCTGTTAATGCCCCTGATAATGTATTATCAGTTATTTAATATGTTTCTCCTTGTTAATGTGTTATTTTATCAAATTTTGTTTAATGTTATATAATATCCCATCACCCCACAGAAACATCATCCTATTTTATGTTACAATATAATATTTATGCAAATTCTCTCCATACCTATCCTGTACTCATCAAAAACCAACAATAATCATTTATTTAGAATAATATACAATTGTAAGAAAATTGCAATATAGTAATAACATCTTAAATATAGTATTACTTTTCAAAATTATCCAAAGAAAATCAAAATTACTGTGGCAAGGGTCATTCATGTAAATTAACCAGCTGTACATCACTTCAACAATGGACATGGACTTCCTGAGCTTCTACCATTGCCTCTCCCCAGATCCTGCCAACTCTTCACAGTGTGAACATCATTCTATTGGAAATTGTGGTTAATTTAAACTAAAATTCATAATCCCAAAGTAAAACCTAAAATTTAAATTTCTCATCATCCAAAAGTATTGGACAAGTGCATTGAAGAGTACCAATTTATAAGAAGACAGACACTCCAGATTTGGTAACCATCATCCATCTTATTTAACTAAGGACAAATTTAATCTTCATTGGACAATTTATCAGCATAGCCTAATAGGCCCAATTAATTTAACTCATCAAGATATACATATTTCAAATTGAACTTTTATTCAAAATTTAATCTTCAAATTCTATTTTATTTCATTAAATTCAGTGAAACAGTTTGGAATCTTTCTTTGGACATTAACATTATTATATTAATAGCATCACGAACCTAGTATTTCAGAATAATAACTAAATTAAATTATCTACATTTTAAAGAAGCCTTAATATATCATTCGAACCGGCACGACCACCCCTCCCTGAGATTAAGAGCTCATATTCAAATATTAATTAGTACTTTAGAAGAAACCAACCCAATAAGCCTAGAATAATATCATCCACTTTGGAAACCCCACCATTTTGAAAATTTACCATTGTTAACTTACCCTGTAGCTAATTCAACCAATAACTTATCTTATATTTGTATTTCATTAATAAATTATATATTGTAACATACCAAATCTCTTTATTCAATAATTCATATAGGCCTATTATAAGATAAAGATAAAGACTTACCTCATTAGACAGAAATAAAACATAAATTAGGAATTATCTTTATTAGGAAAGAAATGACTTTGGGTTCAATGTGGGCTAACTTATTAGCCAAAGGAATTTTGTAGGCCTAAGTTAATGAAAAGTCTATAGAAAGCTTTATGGTGCGTAGCAACGTAGTAGTTAACTCTTCGGTATTCGACGAACGAATGTCGCGTCTTGGAAGAAAATCCCTTATTCCAGTCCGGTCGAGGCCTACGCGCCCTAGCGACAAACTTTGACCGGTACCTACTACTAGACAACAGCTCATCGCAAAATCACTTATTGAGCCGGTCTAGTTTCCGTCTGTCGTCTGTCAACAAACACCAGTTTGGGATTGTGTGTGTCGTCGTGGGCGTTAAATATTGGTAAATTCGGTCGGTTTAACTTTACTTGATTAATTGGCGTGCTATTAGGCCTACTGATAAATATGTCGTGTAAGTATGTTTATATACTTCACTGTGATTAAAGCTAGGCCTACGTTCTTTGGCCCATAGCTCAAGCTATGGACAACACATAGGCCTAGGAGTAGGCTATTGTGGATGGAAAACGGGTCATGTTCTGGTGTTTATTTAATCGTGACACGTATTTACCCACCTTTAAATTTGGTACCCTACTTACAAACTGTTTTCAATTTTCAATAGCCTAGGCCCTACTGTTGATATTATAGTAAACTTACATAAGTTAGGAATCAACAATTAATTCATGGTTTCTTCCATTTTTATTCTTAAATGTTTAAGGAAAAACAAAGAATAATATAAAGAAAAAGGTTTGAAAATGTTTTGTTAACTTATGGTATTAAATTCAATACGATATTAATATAGAACCAAATAAATATCGATAATATTTATCGTTATTCATCCGATAATATATCACAGGTTCTCTGTGGAACTCTACCCAAATGAGGTCTAGCACTGGTCGCTAAGTTTACTTAAAGCAATTTATATTTGTCATTTCTCCTTTCCCCATCTCTATCACTTAGACTTACTACAGCACTCATACTTTGGAAACTGTACTTTAGCCTAACTGCTGTACAACAATGTTAGGTTGGTGTGTCCATCGCCGTTGGGGCTCTTCCTTGCTTGGTACACAAGTTTTTCCAATCCAACATACCAAAGCTTAAAGCACACGGTTGTCTCATAATCTTGTAGACTATCCTCTGTGTCTGTAGCTTACTTCTCTGTGTTATTATCAAAGGTTGCATGGTACAGTTTTGCAGATAACCTACAATAACTTATATTATTATCTAATGAAACAGGCAGCAGGCTACAGTAACTTTTTAACTTAGTTTAGAAGTTTAAGTAAACTTTCAAACTAATAACTATATTCGATAAGATAAAATATCATATCGGATATCATATCGATTTTAAGTTAAGTTATTTTAATATGTTATTAATAAGTAAGTTAACTTAATTAGGCTAACTCATATGAATAGGTCAGTACAAACAACACAGTAATGTTTTTCACTTTTATCTTAAGTTTCATAACTAACTTAACCTAATTTAAATGCCCCAGCACACTGTCTAAAAGAACTGTGGGTGAAACTCTACTTGAAAAGCCATAACAGGAAATCAATAGGTAGGGTAGTCTAGACGCTATTAAGTTAAAATTCAATAAATTATTCATAACAAATGGAATTAATCTATTGTAGGTTCTCTGCGGAACTGTACCCAGGTTGCCTCCAATTACTTTCCGACTTACTTTACCAATTAATGGCTAAACTTTGATATCCTAACTTAACTCCATCGTATTGATATTGAACATGAAACCATAATTTTGATCAATAACCAATCTTAAACCTAACAAAAATCATACCTTTGAGAAAACTATTCAACGACAACAATTGACAATATAATTCAGTTGGCTATTCAATTTTTGCTTGATAGTCCTCATTAAGTTACCTACCATAACTTAGCCTACATAGAGCTTAGACCTAAGCCCATATTAGGCCTAGCACATGTAGTTTCATGGCTTCTTTGTTTAGGCTCCGGTGAATACAACTAGTGAAGACTCAGAATATGAAACTTTAGAAGAAGACAATGGGGGAAGCTCCAGGAGCTCCCTTTCAAGAAGGAGTTCATTGAGTGATGATCTTAGTGATGGCATCGGCCTAGAAGACGAACGGGAGGACGGAGATGGGCAAGAGGTGAGTCAAGTACCTTATGTTTACAGTTACACATCAATATTTAGACGGCCTTTTATGAAATAATATGTACGTATGGGGCTGGAATGCAAGGAAATTTTTCTGTCTCTGCTTTTACCGAAAGTCTTATATATATTTATGGGTGACCTAAGTTTGTCATAACTCAATAATTTCCGTAGGTTTTAACAAATTTAAGCAGCATCTAAAATCAATGATAGCAGTCAATTTAATTAGGTATGCATCTTCCGTCATGGATGGCGGAGGAAAGGTGATCGTCTTGTATCATCACATCGAAATCGTGAACTTCTTTCACGCTTGTGTCCCACGGTTGTGAATATACTATCATTGTCTTCCGCGATCGCAGCAAAATCATGAATAATGCAATCGATTGAAATCGTCAGCGTGGTTTGAGAATCCCCACACTGGAACATTCTGATTACACCACTGAGATATCTACTATATAGTAAAACATTACTGGTGATATAATTTTTGTTATTTGATAATGGCATGGGTCTTGGCAAGCACCTATGCCTAAATCCAGCCCTGTACAGTTCGGCCAACACTTCTGTGCCCGCGAACGGGTCGCTACTAGCCGAACTAAAACATACGGGTACCAGTTATTGGCAGTGCCCCGGTATGGGTGAGTGAGTAGCAAGAGACAAAGTACCCCTGCTAACCCCCTCGCCTAAACCCAACCAGATCTGCTCGCGCGCACATAAACTTGGGCCGAACTGTATAATAAGTTATTAACCTAGAGGTTCATAATATACCAATGGGTTCTGCGTGCCTACCAGATAGGTACTGTTAAAAAACTTAAGTTATTCAAAGCTATAGCCACATAGTCTACTGCACAATTTATGAACAATCTTTCAAAATTACAATTTCAAACCTTATGCGTTAGATACCTACCGGTACATAAAATCATAATTTAAGAAACATTTTATATTTGTATAACAGTTACATAGGCGTTAGTGCTGTAACCTAAATTAAATTAATATAGGCTACATTTCAGTTCATTTCTGGGAGTATTTAGGTCTGCAATGAACAATCTTATAATAATAAGCAGTACGGTATTTTGAAATTAATATATAAAAAGACTAAACACATTTATGGAATCGCTGATTTAATGAAACTAATTATTAAATAGGCCTATCTACTCGACATTTTCATTAGCATACACTATTATAAAGTTCTCATATCATAAGTAAAGCTAGTTAACCATGGAGAGTTAATTCTAGTGAAAGTCCCATACTACTTTCTTTGGAGCAATGTAAATCTGCTTAACGAGTTGCCAACTGGTATTGCTTCTAATTAAATCATGTCTGGAGAGAAAGTCATTTGCTTCTTATATGTTTATTATGTTGCAAATTGTACAAATAGGTAAAACACACCTATATTTTAATTTTACCTATATTTTGATTAGCACATTCTTAAGATTCAAAGTTGATTAGGTCAGAATACAAATATCTTTTGGTGGCAATAGTGCAGTGCAAAACGAATAGAATGCCATTTGCTTTGTTTAGTCATGTCTGTGGAATCTGCAGTTGATTGCACATTGTTGTTACAAGATAAATGATTATCAGTCAACCAGTACAGTTGTGTTTCATGGGTCAAAGATGGCATTTGGAATTTGTTTGCTTGTGGCTTAAGGCATTCTTTTCCTCCTCTCTGGATGTTTAAAAATCTGGTTTTATCACTTTAAATTCAGTAAATGTTTCTTGGGGTTCCCTCAACTTGTTTTTTGTACAATGTAGTGTGGTTGGTATATGAAGAGGCTATGCAATCCTACTGAGTTGGTCAAAGCTAACACCAAAGAAATATTTTTTCTACCCTTAAGGGTTTATCTTGTTTTTAGGCCTGAACCATTATTCCAAAATAGAGGCTAATATGTAATTAGAAAAATATTATTTTTGAAGACATAATAATTTAACCATTTTTACAATTTAAAATTAATTGCATGAAAGCTATACTAATGTTTTTTTTTAGTATAAAAAATTACACACAGTACTGCATGTAGACTTAAACTAGGCCTACAAAAACTTATACGAGATAGAAAATGTACTATGCCTAGGCCTACACATTAAAAAAGTGCAGAAGGGTTTTTTTGCTACTGTATTGAACACCACACATGAAGAAAGTCACCGTTTTTTTTCTTATGTAGCCTACTATACAGTAAACATTTCCCCAGCCCCTTGCAACATGTCCATGTTATATGTCTTATGTTATATCTTTGACTATTGCTTGATTTTTAAAGTCAGGTCAAACGCTTTAAGTTTTAAAGGGAAGGCGGTTCAAACCCATTAAAAAGTTCTGTGTTTTCTCGGAATGACACCCGTCCCTCGCGCACCACTATGCTATCAAGACACCCAAAAATAAAACATAAAATTCACCTCATACTCTCACAACCTTGTCGGAAACAAAATGTGTTGGGAACTATCAAGAGATTAAATTATTTCTTGGATTATAAAGGCTGGACTGTATACTTGAAAAGTGATTCCTTATTTTGGACCTCGGTAGAATCCGAACCACCAAGTCATGCCACTAGCACATAGCAAATAAATTATGTTTTGTGATGGGCGAGAATTGAATCAGAGACCTCAGGGCAAAAAGTGTTTGCTTACAATACAAGACAAGTGTTGGTAAAATTCGAGGCAATTGATTATTAATCCTCATATATCAACATTCAATTGTCTTTTTATTAGGCTACCTTTTAATTTATTAAAATAAAATGATTAATGACTAATGTTTTGTCCAGGAAAACTCTGTTGGGAAAGACAAAAAACTAGACGATGATGAAGACAAACGAAACCCTCAGTACATTCCGAAAAAAGGGACTTTTTACGAGCACGATGACAGAACTATGGTTGATGGGAGGTAAGTAAATGAAAACATTTTGTAAATAAATTTGAAAAAACATTAACAATTTTATTGGACCTATTTTTTGCATGTACTATGATGTGATCATAAGTTTGTTAAAGGTCTATGTAAGCAGACAAGAAAAATATGGAATTTTCACGTTAATTCATAGTACTTACTTAGGCCTACTGCTGTGGCCACTGTTACCCTAATTGGTACTTGGCCTCCTCAACAGACTGCCTCTATACATCTCTGCATCTTGCATCCTCCTTCCTCCCAGATTTCTTATGTCCTTTTCTACTTGGTCCATCTCAACTTCGGTCTACCAAGGGGTCTTCTTCCTCCTGGGTTGTTCTCCAGTACTTTCATTGGTAAAGAGTTGTCTTCTTTTCTTATGATATGTCCTGCCCATCTCATACTACTTCTCTGGACCTCAGCGACTCGTAGTAAAATTCATTTTTAGCTCTTTGAGGTGGAATTTTCGACCATTTTCCGGCGAGTTTAGTTTGCCATTCGAGCAGTCAGGAAAATGGCGTCCGGTGACCTATACTCGCCATTCGACCAAAAAAATTAATTTTTTTGATTTTACAATTGTTTTTTTTTTGTCCTCAAGGGGAACCATTTTTAACCAGTCAGCAAAATGGCGGGCGGCGACCTATACTCGCCATTCGACCGCAAAGGGTTTGAAACCAACAAAATTGCCATTTTAACGTACACAATAAATTGTACACAAAGATTTTAATCAAAGGGGGGGAATCTAAAATAGGCCTACAAATATGAATAATTAATTTTATTTTGTTACTTAACCTTGTGTAAGGATTTTGCTATTTCTTGTGAAGGATTCCATAGCTTAAAACTTAAACTATTTGTACTTTTGGTAGCCCAGTCCACAGCAATAATTTAAAAAGCACAGATTTTTTCAATATCAATCTGTCTCTCCCGGCCACCGAACTCCGCCTATCACAGGGTGTCCACATTCTGGATAGTCAAGGATCATGGATAGTCATGGAAAGTCATGGAAAAAAATTTTGGTCATTGAAAGTCAGGGAAATAGGCAAGAAGTCATGGAAAATCATGGAAATGTCCAATTATGGATGGATTTGAGGGGACCATTCAATGCTCTAGTCAGCCATAACCCGGACTGTTGTAGCATTTTTCAGGATTTTTCACAAATGTACGACAATTCAATTTATTACAGTTGTATTAATTTATGAGTTTTCTGTTTGTTTTAGTTCATTGTTGTACCTATTGTACTCCATTGTTATCTGTTATTACATATTTCAGTATTTTCTGCAAAATAACATGTCCAGGCAGTATTATTTGTGTGTGTATGTTATATTATAATTTGCGTTTAAAGTTCGTGAGTCATGGAAATCAATGGTAAATGGTCATGGATAGTCATGGAAAGTCATGGAAATTAATGACAAATTTTTTGTGGACACCCTGTATCAGTTTAGCCACCATGGTATCAGATCCGAACTATTTTGGATAATTGAAACAAATCGTGTTTAGAAAAACAAGTTTTTATCTTGTGCTGCTGGGAATCAGAGTGGTAAGAAAAACCAATTTGCAATTGATCTGAGCTGCTGTGCAAAAGACCAGTGCAGCTATCCACCCAACTGATTAACACAATTTAAAAATAGTATTTTTAATTTCAAAATGGGTTAACTTGTGTTTTGTTTAAAGACCTGTCTCTATCAGTGATAACTTTTTCTTACTTATTTTTCTCGTTTATCAGTGAAGTGGAAGGCAAGGAAGTTGAGAGTAACACAAAAGATGCAGCAGCGGCTGAAAATGCGGCTGAAGCTGCAGGGCCTAAAAAGGCGGGCGGAAAGGTGTGGACGGAGAAAGCTGAAAAATGGAGTCACGACTTGTACAACGAGGACGAACAAAAACCAAAGTCCACACAGGAGCTCATCGACACATACGGATACGACATCAGAAACGAGGAAGCACCGCCTAAGGCTCGGCGTCGTCGGAGATACGGGTATGTGGCTAAACTAAACGTAAATCCTGTGAAATGGGCTATAGGATAAAATATTGTCATGTCATTTTTTTTTACTCCTAATAGAGTAGTTGAGCCGACAAGTTTTTGGTGTTTTTTGTTTTGTAATTACATATATGTTATGGTATACTTTGTGTAACAAAAAAAAAATTATATAAATGCTACAGACTTGCATCCAATTTCACTGTATAATTTACGTAACACATAGGTGTACTTTGTGAGACACATATCATAATGTCTAATTAAGTTACACCCGATTTTAACTACATGTCTAAACTTGTAATGTAATCAGTGTATTATTTGTCTAACTCAAAACCCATGCATTGTGTTGGCTTTTTACGTAGAATTTTACCACACCTATCCGCCTCTTTCTCTCTCTTTTCATTATTAATTACAGGGTTTTCTTGGCCTCGCTGATCAAACTATTTTTTTTTAAATTTTGTAAACCTTAACATTAATTAATACACTCTTATAAAAGAATAATCATTCTTTGGTACCAGTGTGTAAGTAATTTTGGTAGGTATCATAAAGCTGGGAAAATTTGTAATTCGTTTAATATGTTGGAAATAACATATGTTCAAACGAAAATTGACTTGTGCAAAGTAATGTTTTTATATTGATGTGTTCTGTTCACAGACGAGGACCCAACAAATACACGCGAAACTGGGAGGACGAGGAGGCGTACACACGGGCAGCTCCTCAACGCAGGGTATTCCACAATAACAAGGAAGAGTTTCCCGACCTCGGCAGTCGTGGGCGTAATAGGGACAAGCCGCAACACACTCCCTCCGATCCTCCTGAAATGGTAAGCTAAAACGCACTGACCAGTCATGCTTTCTAGGGAGGAAAACTATCAACTACACCAACATAACAGTTAATTGTATTTGGTTATTTGTAATTGGGTAGCTTTCAAATCCGAAGGTGCTGGTTCGGTCAAAAAAGGGGTTGATTCTTGATTCTGATGCCAAATTTTATTGGGCTATTGATTAAAGATGCTTACTACCAAAAGGTCGACATGAAATGGTAACATGAGAGTTTTGGACCATTAGTGCATTTTTGACTAAATTGGAAAAAAAGATAGGACATTTGCCAGGAATTGTTAAGGAAATTGACAGGGAAGCAGGCTTACCTTTAAATAAGTCCATATAGACACAGAGTGGTTGAAAAAGTGGTCGGTGAAATTTCTACTTTTGTGCTGTATTTTATGTGTCTCTATGGACTTATTTAAAGGTAAGCCTGCTTTCCTGTCAATTTCCTAAGTTGGCATTTTGTATTTTGTTAGAAAACATAATTAATAATGTTAATGTATACATATAATGAACAAAAATCATTTACACGGCAGTACAATCATGCTCTAAAATGTAAGTGGAAGCAGTGATCTTTTCCCGTGTGAATTTCCCCTATGGCTCTGAGCAATACTAGACCTGCAGGGACAAGACTCCATTTTGATACCACAAGTATAAGAGCTGTCTCAAGATTTTTTGAAAAGGTCAGTAAACCAATGATTTGAGACTTAAGTGGGATAAACCATTCTCTATTTAGTCAGGGCAAAGGTTGTATACAATCGTTGGTTGATGCGGGGTTGGTTAGGGGAGGGACTGAAGCATTCTAGCCTGTGTCATTCTGAAATATGAATCATTCATAAGCTGTGTGGAATTGTTTGGTCATTTTGCTTTTGATATGTACATTAGCTGTAAATTTATTCACTTAATATCTCTTACCAGCTTAATGAATATAAAAAAAAACATGTTTGTCCCTAGGATCAACCAAGAAACGATTCTCCCAGGGTGAAGTCCAAGTCTAAATCCCCTGCTCCTCGGCAGTCCCCAGGCCAAGGTGGGGACAGAGACAGACCAAGAGACAGATCCAAGGGGGAGAGAATGAGGAGGGACAGAGGGATGGAGAGAGGGAGGGTAGTCAAAGACTCACCGCCCTCTAATAACATCCCACCTCAGCCAGTGTAAGTTGTAGATCATATAACTGAAGATCAGTTGATTCTGTACTGTATTTATATTTCTAGTCCTGTATAAAAAATGGTTTGTGAAAATCAATATCCTTATTATTCTATAAAGAACATTGACTCATATGTATTGGTAAAAGCTAAGTCCTTAAGCAAGATTACATTTTCTCAAAACCAGGTCTAACACTTCTTTTCTGTGATTATCATAGATTTTGATTGATTGTAAATGTTTGTATACGCAGAGTCGCTGAGAAGGTCCCCGGTGTTATTGGCACTCCTGGGGAGAGAGTGGTCGGGAGAGGAAGGGGATTCAGAGGCACTGGCAAGCAAAGACCAACCATGGAGTTTACAGCGTCTCGAGGTCGTGGACCTCTTCCTCCCGCATTTAACAAAGAACCACTCAACAATCAAAGTAAGTGTTTGCAAAAATCCACAGTTTGCAGTAATTGTTTAAGTTTGCTTCTTTTTGCTTTTTGCAATTTTTTGTTTTGATTTTACAAACTAAAGATGGACGGGATTGTATTTTTTATTCGGAATGGAACTTTTTTTACAATTCAACAAAAAACTTTTTAACTTGCTTTAAAAATGTTGAGTAGGCTAGTAAAAAATAAATTTGAAAAATCCTTGCAAATGACAATTATGAGAAACAAAATCCATTTTATTGTTAATGCACAAGTAATAAACAATAATAAAACAATCTGTATCATGACTACTTGGAGCTTACTTATATTATTCTGGTGTCTTTATAAGGGTCTGCGGGTCCCCGATTTTTTCGGGTCGGGTCGGTCCAGCGGAAGGCCCGAGAGACCGGGCTGGGTCAGAGATTTGTTCGGGCCAAGATCGGGTTGGGAAAAAAAAATTATTTTCAAAGTTATAATAAGTTATTTTCAAAGAAACACTCATATATATATTAAAACGTTAAAATTAGAATTAAATGTTAAGTTTGCTCACGTTTAAGAACAAAGACACAACAGAGCAATTGCCGTACTGTCACTAGCCAGAGCCAGTCGTCTACTGACAAAAGTCGTGACGCAGTGTGAGGTTTTTAGACTTAGGAGGTTAGGAGGCAGGGAATGAATGATTCATATTGCATGGTGGAAACATAGAATTTTTATTTTCTTCTTGCTTGCAGTCTTGAAGCCAGTCCACAGGCCCTATTCTTGTGATAAGGTTGATTGATTTGTTTATGGTCCTTGTATATTAAGTTACATTACAAACTTGTTGTAATATAGCTATTTAGATATTTCAACAGTTATGAAAATGGGAAAGAATGGCTTGATAAAAAAAATATTTTCTTTCTAGCAGTTGAGGCAACTCCTAAGCTGTAAATAAGTTATGAACATGAAATAATATACATAAATACAATCTTTTTTCATAGTTTATTTTCAAGTAATATTATAAACACAGGAGTAAAAAAAATTGGGTAATTAATAATTTTTGGCCCGAAACCCGAGGACCAAAATTGTCGGCCCGATCCGACCCGAACCAATAAAATTTTAACCCGCAGAACCCTATGTCTTTATCACACATAGGCCTAATCTTTGTTTTTGTAACTGTTTTCATCCTAACAATATTGGGAGGAACAATTAGTTAGAAACAATTAGAAACAACAAACAAACAATTAGGAGAAACAATGTAGTTTTGCCATCACATTGATTTATGTTTATGTTAGGAATTATTTTAAATTGTGTTTGAATTGCTGTGCCAGTTGTGATCTTTGCATTGGAAATGCTCTGATGAACAAACACTAACATAGAAATATCTGTGTGATTGACAGTCGATGACAGTTTGAAGCATGCTGCTGAAATGTTGGTACAGGACTTCAGCCAAATATACGTCAATAACAACCATAACAGCAATAGTACAAACATAGTCGAGGAAACCATCATACCACGTAAGTAATTTACATTTATGTCATGAAAGCTTGGTTTGTTAATTTTTAAGTGTTTAAATTTCCTCTTCAAAATCAAGGGCGAAAAAGACTTGCAAAAGTTGTGTTTTAAGTAAGGGACATTTTTGCGTATAGCCTCCTAAGTTGGCATGTACGTTGCAACGAGGCTTTTCACTGCTTACTGGCATCTGGCATCATTTGTGAACAGAATACAATATTTGCAGCTCTCTGGCTGACGTGTACGCTTCGCTACAGATCTGCAAATGGTGTCATTCTGTTCACAAATGTAAGCAGCGAGGAGCCTCGTTTCAGCGCACTTACAAGAACTACGGAGCTATACGCATAAACGGCCCGCATTACTTAAAAAGGTTACTCAAACAATCCAGTAACCATTCAGCTTTCAAAATATTGGTTGAGTTAATTTTTTTTATTTGAATTGATTTTTTAAATTCAAAGTTTTGATTAGAAGTTTTATATTCAGTCATTGGTCATGAAATGTATGACATGTTGATATATGTTTGGCAGAACATAGGCCAACAGGAGAATTTTAGATTTCATCATGGTATTCTTGTTAGAATAACTATTTAACCCAAAAAGTTAATGTGGACGGGCAAAAGCAAGGTTGAAAGAGGCCACCAACCTCTTAAAAAAAAGAGAAAAAAGATAAATATGACTGTACAGAGCACTATTAATGAATGTTGTCTTACAGTTTTCCGCTTGAGGATTGGGTAAAATAATGGTGAAGCAGAACTTCAGCGAGTTATTGCCTTGAAGCTCAACCAAGCCATCCTATACAGTAGAACTCCGATTATCCGAATCAATAGGGACCAGACCCCATTCGGATAATCAAAAATTCGGATAATCAGAGTTTTACCGGAATTCCAGGAATTTGAAAGAAAAATCCAAATTTTCGGTACTAAGTAAACTTTTAATTAATAATAATTTAAATCAGAACATTTTTACAGTTTACAATGCTCATAGTACAAGTGTTCTATACATACATGTTATTAAGTCAATAGTGTTCCATCAAAGTCCAAAATTGGCTAAATGTGTTTAATAACAATTCTTTGATATTTTGCAAAACTTATTACTGTAGCTTTACGTTTTTAAAATTGTTGTAATAAGCGATTCGGATAATTGGAGATTCGGTTAATTGGAGTTCGGATAATTGGAGTTCTACTGTATTTAGAATAGATTAATGAAATAATAAAATTCTGATTAAAGTTTACACCTATTCCAATTTCAAATTTTTAAATATTAAAATTAACCAAATTTTCTAATTAGGAGCTCATTGTTTTAATGTGTTGGTTACTAGTGTATGCTCTAGAGAATATCTCAGCTTCTAATCTCCTATATTCTAAATATTACAGCGTGTTACTAAACTAAATGTATATTTTTGTTCATTTGGACACAGTGAATGATTAAAGCATAGCATATAAATTATTCATTGTACGATTGTGTGTCTCCAGGCAGTGAGAGGAGGGACGGTGGTAATCGTTCTAAACGCTACTCCACCCAACGACAGCGTAGTCTGCCTGAGACTACACCGCCTCCTACTTACAGTCCGCCTCACAACATCCCATACTACACGCAGCCTCCCCCCGCTAGTGAGTACCACATCGACTGTACACTACAACTGAGAGATTGTGTGTTCAAACTCTTGACAGTGTTACCAATCGTTGGTTAACCCTTTCATCCAAATCAGATAAAATGAGACTGCAACCCTTGAATATGTTACCACTAGACATTCCATTCCCATGTTAAAGCCAGTGTGCAGTTTTAGAATGAAACTGAACGTAGTTGAATCGAGTCACTGACGAGCGTGGGCTGATGTAAATAATTTATATCTGTTGAATCAACCAACTTTTTGACCAATCCAATTTTAACAAATCTCTAATGGGGATTATCAAAACAAACTTGATGAAGATTGACTCCTTATAGCGGTTTTCAGAACCACGTGGATTAGAAGTAAAATAAATTAATTGGGGATTTGAAAATGACATTTGTTATCAAGCATCTTTGTTATCGAGGGTCTTGCTATCGTGGTTCCACTGTATAATAAAATGAAAATGTTACCTATGCTAAAGATGGGGATGTCCAGTTCAATATCCGATTCACGGTGGAAGTCGTATTGTAATGTGTTGTTTGGTTTCAGGTTACGTGCCGACTCCAGTGTACAATGACGTGACGGGACAACAAGTCCCAATGATGGCGTTTCTCCCTCCGGGACCTCCCCCCGCCACACCTGCAGCTCCGCCATACCCACCCCCGCCAATGCTGAACTACTTGCCTCCGCCAGCCTTCCCTCCCATTGCGATGCAACCTCCGGTAAGTTGAAATTGATACATAACGTACGGAGTTTTACAAGATGTACAAAGTGGTGCTTTGTCATGAGTTACATCCTTACATCCATTAAAACATTACTTAATTACTACTCCATTTTTACTCTGTTTTTTATAAACCTATCTCTGCTTTTATTATTTAACTTTTACAATTTTACATTTGCAGGGGTGCAGCTTAATCACAAGTGTGCAAAACTTCTACAGGAATATACTACTATGAAGAGTTATCATTGAACACAGTGCCTTTTATCTTAAAACAATTAAATTAGAGCTTTGTTTTTGTTGTCATTATAAGATGTTTTAATTTCTTTACTAAGTTTTGTAAATATTATGTTTTCATAGTGTAAAATATACAATTTTTACAGTTGTGGTCTTTCATTTTTATATGAATAGGTATGGTATGCTATGTACGAGTAATATACAAAAACAAAATTGCACTATAAAAACAAATTTTAAGATACACCTCATTCGCCTACACCCAAATTCCGCTGTACATAATTTATCCTACTGAAGAGCATGCTTTTTACTTACTAACTGTGATGGTATGGTGTATTCTCAATAATTGTTCACACTTACAGGCAGTCTGGTTACAACAAATAGTGGTTTCAGTTTCAGTTTAATATTGTTAACTCCGAGAAGCTATGGTGAATGTTAACAAGGGTTCTGTGTATAAAAAAAAAAACTTAAACTTCTTTAGTACAAAAATAAACAAAAGGTATACTAATAGCATTTGTTAAACAAATTCCTCCAGAAACATATCAGGTACGTTATAATAGGATGTTTTGATAACAAGATTTTCTGATTGATTTTTGCTATTTCAAATTATTGGGAAGCTTATCGTACAATTTCTCCCCTTAGTATTGTGGTTAAAATTAGTCTTTGAAAAGGTAACTAAAATATCTCTGTGTCTGCTGTTATAATCATGAAAATGCTCTTGCAGTTCAAATTGTGCATACAAATTAGGCAGCAACTAATGTGGCACCAGATATTTACGACAACCTCAAAACTTCCTCCACCCTTAATGCACATGTTTTGTGTCTACTAAACAGAAACACATTACCTTATTTAAGTCCAGCAACTGGCAATGTACCGGTACTTCAATAAGGTATGATGCCCTTGACCAGAAAAATCTAATCTATTGGAACATGATTCATGCTTGCCAAGAGTGTCAAGCATTTCGTACACATTCGTCAAGCATTTTCCTACACATAATTTTCTCTTTTTCTGCTGACGAGCTTAATTTAGCAGTAGAAACTGGCTAGAACTGTTGTAGTGGATGGAATAAAGAACACGGTACCGGTCTTGGGTTTCAACTAGATCTCTTGGCCGTGTTGGGAGCTCTAAGGAGACCCTTACTTACAAGCAACTCTTGTACATCAAGTAGTGTTGAGTGTAGAAGATATCTTTATTTCACCTGCATAATATCTGCCTATTTATTTTAACCTGGTTCCTTAGGCCATTTTCTAAGCAGTTTTGTTTGTGGAAAAATCATGCATAAGTTTGTTCTAGTTATATTAAGAAACAACAAAATGCATGAAATGGTACATTATTTACCCATCTGACATTTTTCAAAGTTTATTATATTCTAGGTAGAAAATAAACTAACATAAATGTATTATTTCAGCAACTGCCTGGCCAGTTTGAAGATCCATGTGGCGCTGAAATGTATCAAGGTGGCATCACATACTACAGGTATTACTTAACTGTAAATATACTGGTATGCAACTTAATACTTACGTACTCCTGTGGCATTGAAACTCCTAGGGGCCCTTGGATCCTCTGCCTTCCTGGGCCTGCTCCCATTCTTCTTAGACCCTTTCATGGGCGTACCCAGAGAGGGACAGGGGGGGGGGCAGCTGCCCCTAGAAGCCAGGATAAAGTATACAAAATTGAGATCCAAGAAAAATGTTATTAGTACGAGAAAAGATAAGTTTAGATAGACAGATTTTTTGACACATGTTATAAATTTTCTGAGTTTTTCCTTCAGTAAAATAAAAAAAATCCTACATTAGTAATAAACAGACCAATTTCTTGCAATGTTATAAACTATCAACTTTGGGTAATGTCTCAAAATAGCATAAAAATACGCTAATTTCAGCATATTGTTTTTAAAATTTTCCCGGACCCCCCTCCGTGCTGAGGGGTATTCCATACCCTCCAGGCCCCCCGCTGTGCCGCCCCTGTTTCAAGTATGCTCTTGCCCCTCCCCCCTAGTTTTGATCCTGGGTACGCCCTTGGACCCTTCAATTCAATCTTCACCTCAGTCACTGAAACCTTGTCCAAAAGAGTGACTGGTCGTAGTGATGAAATATACTATTAAATCCCAAATTTATAAATTCAGTTTTTACCACTGAATCATCATTTGATTAAAGAATTGTGTTATTTCACAAAGTCATGTTGGGCTTGCAATACAGAATATAAATTCCAGCTAGTATTTACGTTATAATGTTGTTTGCAGCCCACAGAGTCAGTCCGTGGTGCCTCGCTCCAACCCGCCCCGCAGGGTCAAGTTAGCAATCCCCATAGTCCCCCCGCCTGACAACAAACAGCCACAAGCGGGGGCCAAGCAGCAAGTAGGGGCTGACAACAAGCAGGAAATGCAATCTGTCGCTACATAGGTGTGTACCTTGATCTTTATATAGCTCTAGTGTTTGAAGGAAGGAACAGTTGGATTAGGAATACATTAAGTAAGTAACTGAAGGGACTGAACACAAGTAAGTTAACCAAGAAAAGAGTTCCAATAATTGACAGCACACAAAATGGTCACAATTTGATACTTCGGACCTCCAAAGGTTTCTTTAGGAAGAAGTTTAGTAGAATGGCAGTAACCAAATATTTGACAGTTGTGAACTGTCTTTCTACAACAATTTCATTTGAATAAGCTCTGTTATTGTTGCGGAATATTAAATTAATTGCGTGGTGAACTTTTTTGTGTGCTGCCGAAGTCTTTTCTTGGGTAAGTTAGTTGTGTAAACATACCGTCTTACTCGATGTTATCTCTAAAATCCTAAATCAAAAAAATTTTCATCTAAAATTTCTGGAAAGAAAATACATTTTCATAATACTGTCCGGAACACAAGTTTTTAGTTCTCCAAATCGTCAGCAAAATCATCGTTTTCTGGTACAGTCCAACCTCAGTATAACGAATCTGAAGGGACCGAACTGAATATTCGTTATATCAAGGATTTCGTTAAAACGAGGTTCGTTATATAGAGGTTATGTTTGCAGGAATTTCGCTAAGTCGAGGTTCAGAACCAGCGTCGGTCAATATAGCTCGGGATTGGACATAATTAAAACACAATTAAAGTAGCATACGCTACAATACTTTACAGTACAGTGTTTACATTGTACAGAAGAACCTAAATTATCCAGCATAAAAAAGGGGAGGGATCTTGAATATTGTGCAATCATGAAAATGGCATTGACCTTGGTACAGGTTAAAAACTGTAAGTTTAAAATCACAGTTTGTTCTAACCCTCCTAAAACCTAGCCAAACACTGTATTGCGTAGTCATAAACCATGTAAAGAACAAAACAAAACAGTTATAGAAAGTTTTGTAAACCACTGATCGTGATAGACCGGTAGGCTACTTACAGTACAGTACTGATTTTATCACAACAGAGGAATGTCAATAATAATCATTAACTATAGCATTGGTGTTGCTAGTTGACACAAATCGTATTGAAAACAATAAATTATTAGATAAGTCATTATAAAAGTGTATAATCATAGCCAACTTAAAGATAATAAAACACTCGAAAAAGGAATTTTAAAATAACGATGTTGCTATTCTTTTCCTTTGGTTTTGTTTTTATATTCTTTCTTAGGTTTCTCTTTATCCAAAAATTGTACAATTCACCATAGTTACTTATTGCCCAATCACAGCTTACTAAACATTACGTCGTCATCAGTCCTCAGTGAATGAAAAAAGTTCTCAGTTGCAAAATAGCGCGCGCAGCGACAGCAGACAGAGATGTGTAAAACGGAGCAGACGAATGTTAGCGCAAGCGATGACGTCACCTTTCCATTTCATTTGATAAAGAAACAGATTTTTCAAAAACAATAATGGGGTGGGGGATTTGTTATATCGAGGGAAAGACATAGACAATTCGTTATGCAGAGGTTAAATTCGCAATGTAGAGGTTCTGACAATGATAAATTCGCTATATTGAGGTGTCTAGCCGAAATCACGAAAAATTCGTTAAATCAAGGTCGTTGTTATGGTTTGTTCGTTATATAGGGGTAAAATATACATAGTGTCTTATGGAGAGTTCTAGGGGATTAAAAAAAAAATCTTTATATCAAGGAATTCGTTGTATCGAGGTTCGTTATATCAAGGTTAGACTGTAACTTCAAATGGGAACAGAAAAAACATACTGTATGGTAAATTTTTCAGTTCGCTAGTAACCTCAAAATTTGTTTGAAAACGCTGCTAATTACACAATATTTTAAGTTATGTTTGTAAACAACAGAGTGTAAACATTGATTACCACTTTGTTTAACCTCAAATTATTTGATCTAATTGAGTAACGATTAGAAGGGATAGGCCTATTTCCACAGTATGATGAAAATATTTGTTCATCCCACGGAGCGAAAGTGTTTTTTTGGTACCTAATCGTATTTCCAAACTCGGCTACAAAACAATTTTGGCAATGATTTTTTATTATTTTCTTACCATCCGACCTTGTTTAGATAAACTGTTTTAGACTCTAGTATATTTTGCTGTTGCTGTTGTATTACTTTTTCAGTTGCTTGCATGACTGTTCACAATAGCCACAGCAACTAATTTATGAACTGTCTTCACTTGAAAAAGCCCCCCTCAGAACGAAATATATTATTTTGTGTCTTAATGACCTATCTATACAGTATACATCTATACAATAACTTTTCCTGACTGTAGTGATGTCGCAGGGAGGACCATATCAGTCTACATGTTGTTAACTCTACCAAGGCCTCGCACACAGCTGCACGTATCTCCTCTACAGTGGAGCAACTCTTGATTAATATTTAACCTTGGCCTAAAGTAGGCCTAGCTCATCCTATACTTAGTGGCAAAGATAGACAGTCATACTCTCTTCTTCAGAGATGCCCTAAACCTCTTTCAGAACTTGGTAAATTGCTTTTACGAATAAATAGGATAAATTGAAATAAAGAGGATGAGTTTAAATAAAGAGTAGTAGTTGAAATAAAGAGGATAAGTTGAAATAAAGAAAATAAAATGAATTAAAAAGGATAAAATGAATTTTATTTCAAAGTTTGACAAGGGACCCTGCTTGAACCTCTTTATACGAATACTTTTATGTTGTCATATTTGTACTACGAATGTACATTAATTATTAGTTGTTTTAGGTTTTTATATGAAGTGTAATTTATATTTATTAACAATGAGGTAACATTTTTGTATAGAATGGAATCTGTATATTATTGTATACTGTAATAAAAACGATAAACTGAATAAGTTGATTTTTTTCCTGATTAAATTTAAAATTTATATTGTTAACCTCATTTCGATTAAGTGTATACTTCATATTGAAAATGTTGTGTTGGGGTTCAAGACACTTTTTACAGATTAGGTAAAGAGTGGTGGGGGAATATCTATATATTAATATGAACCTGTTTTTCTTTGTCACAGCTATTTTGAGAGAACGGCTGGGCGTAGAAACTCGGTAGAGGTGTCTAAAGAAAGGTCTTGGTCTGTAGATGAGCCATCAAAAGAGAAACATGGTGAATTCCCTTGGGGCTCTGCCCCCGTGGCCTTTAAATTCCCATCCCATGTTATTCTTATGGAGGAAAACGGGGTTTTTGTCACAGCTAATTTGAGAGAACGGCTGGGCGTAGAAACTTGGTAGGGGTCTCTAAAGAAAGGTCTTGGTCTGTAGATGAGCCATCAAAAGAGGAAAGAGGTAAATTCCCTTGGGACTCTGCCCCAGAAGCCTTTACAGTTGCCTCTTCAGATAGGTTTACATTACGACCATATGCATAATTCTAAACTACTTTTTAATGCAACAGCTGTTAATATTTAAATTGTGATTTATTGAATTTGTCAAAATGAAGTACAGTATTTGCAATGGATTTTTCAAATTTTAAAATTGATTTTCTTCTGCATCGTGTCATGTTTTGCAATATAATGTTCTATTACCAAATCAGTGGAAAATCCTAATATCACAGTAACTTTTAAAATGATTTCTTATGGAGTTAACTTATATCTATTGTATGGGTTGGTTTCTGCCTTTTTTACCACTTCTTGGAGATTTTACGTAGGTTATATTCTTTGGCATATTGCATTTGTAGACGAAACTTGGGTTGGTGTAATTATTACAATGGAAAAGAGCGAGAAATCCTGGACAATTTGATATAGGCTAAAAATAAAACTGAATTAACACTGTGCTACATTTCTTGAGCAATCATTGAAATAACCAATTTGCAAACAATGGAAACATAGAAAAAGTCATAGAACACAACCAAGTAGAAGGAATAGAAATAATGTTTTTTTTTACACTAAAAACACTAAAAAAAACAAGATCAGCTTTTTGAAAAAAGATAAGATATTTACAAAAGATTTTGATTATATCTAACTGTTGTGTAGATCGTGAGTATTTCCATAATCTTTCAGTCGGATGTAATGCTTCGCAATTGCTCGAATTTGAGCAACAGGTACACTAGTTTTTATTTAATTGTTAACTACCATCCACTCATGCCATCCTAATTGATACCATTTATACATATAGTAAGTTTGACTCTTTGCAGGCAGTAAAAATGAAGGAAGCAACAGTAACCATAGATGAGATTTATTTTCAGCGTAGGTTGCTGATAAAATACAACTATGAATCGGAACTTGACTTAGAAATGACGGACATGAAGGGCAGTAACAACATTTCCAATGTGGAATGGATGAGCTAGTAACAATAAACACATCAAATTCTTACAATAAAAGGAAGTGGGATCCAACAATGATTTGAAATTTTAATAGATTGTTTAAAAATTAGTGAACAAGGATTTGTCTGTATATTGCTTTCAATTTTCACCAAACAAAACCTTATAATTTTAGTTGGTATTTATTTGATATAATTTTTCCTAATTATAAACGTTTTATAATGATGCAGATTTTAAATTATAAAAAAATAAGACGAATTAAACTGTTAAACCAATAAAGTTTTTAGGTACTGGTACTAAAGCAAAATTGTTTTTTTATCTAATCATAACATTGATCTATTAATACTGTTCATTGAAATGGCGACCATAGTAAAATAAAACTAGCCTTGCATATTCAATGTTTTTAAATTAAATTTACTTATCTAATGATAATACTAAGGAGAAACCAGTTCTCAAATTTTCTCTGATTTTGGAATATAACTGTCCCACATGATCAAATAAGTTAAATCAAACAATAAACATCATTTAACTCATACTCTAGCTGATTGGCTGTTTGAAGTTTGACTTTTAACATTCTTTTTGTGTTCAACATCCCCCAACTTATTAAATTTTTGCTCACAATTCCTATCCCATACTTTAAAACATATTATTGCTTTGACAATACCAAGTAGAGGGAGAACGCTATATATAGTGTTGGATATGAAAGTTGATAGCGATAAACTGTAATTCCCATTTCTGTGACTTAACATTGTGTATGTGAAACACAAAAACTCCACTCAAAAGTTCAGTTACCACCTCTTCTATAAACGTTTTTATATCCTAAATGTAAAACTAGTTATAATTGCACATATCCTCATCCTATACATTGCTTAGTCTAAATAATTTTACAATCAGTATTGACTAGATCAACCAAAGGAAACTGGTGCAGTCTTAAAAACAATTGTACAATAAAATGGTAACAATAGATGTGTGGAACTGATCCCTTTGGTATAGGAAAACTTTACATAGAACATACATTGTTAAAAATACCTACAAGAAGTTTAACAAGAAAAATTCAAAGAATCACTAAATAATAAATATACAATCTTTCGCTCAAATGTGAGGAATATAAGAAACGTGTCGAAATTATACAAATACGTTCTTAAGACTAAATCAGGACTATTGACAGTAAATAATAGTTACAGCATGATAATTTATACTACTGGATAATATGGGCTGAGTGTTGGAATTTCATTGTCGTCTGGTTTTTGACTGTAAAAAAACGTGAATAATTTCATTACAGCCAAAAATAACTTTTTAAAATTAAATTTTGTCTCTTTATACACTCAAACTTCCGAGAGATTGATACGTACTGAAAAAATACTATAAATTCTTACACACTTTTTACAGGGTTATGTTTTATTGAAGGTATTTCTAAAAAATATCAGGTGATTAGAAATTTCAATACCTTTCCAACCAAAGGACTGAATACTAAAATATCAACATAGTTCTATTTCAAGCATTTATCCTCACTTAGCTTACATCAAACTAGAAACTATTCTCACAAAGATCTTAAAAATAATGAGCCAGTAAGAAAAAAATTGAGCAATGATGAAGTCAAAACCAATCTTACACCTAGTCAAATGGCAGATGTTAATAGATACCTATCGACATTCAACATTATATTTACATAAGTACAGCGTGTGATAGAAAATTAGAACTAACCTACGAAATAGGTCAGAAGCTACGAGGAGTCTATTGGACAAGATTTACATCTAAACTGCATTAGAACAATTAAGTTTTATTACTGAACATGAGATGTACAGTAGGATTACTTCTGTTAAACAGTGAACTCACAGTAAGTAAAACAATGATATGCTGGTTAAAAAGACATCAGAGAAAACGGTTTTGACAGTTAATACTCAAACAACTTGGTAATCTTGAATTCTTGGTAAATCTCAAATGAATGTAAACATCAACAAACATTCATCAATATCTTATAACAAACAAATATGAAACAGTGATTTACAATTTTACTTGACGTCGGCGACAAAAACTTGTGAAAAGACAAGATTTATTGTTATTTCAGTGTATACTGTATTTATTTTTGCCAATATTTATTTTACGTTTGACGAATTTGGATGCATACAGTTAATTTATTCTATGATCTGTTTAATTATACCAGTTAACAGACAGAATATTTAACTGCTAAATTTTTTCCAATAATAAAAGTTGATTTAAAAAAAAAAAAAAAAAAACTGAAACAAGCAGAAGAGCCCTTTTGAACAACTTGTCCACTTTTTAAAACTATGTAATAACCAAGCATTTCATAGTTTTCAGAAATTTTGTTTCAAATTGCATAAAACCTGTCAGTTATGGCAAATAATAAAACCGTGTTCAACCATTGACTTGTAGATACTGAAGTAGACATCCTAGCTATTAAGGGTAGCTGTAGCCAATTTTGTTTGAAAAGAACATTGTTGAATATACCACCCAAAGAGTGTAAACAATTTTACCTACGACTGTTTTTTAAACCAGCCTTTTCTATTAAATTTTTTAGAATAAAAAAGATTCACTTTACCGCATTGTTTACTTACTTTACAGAACTAGTGTGGTAAAGTAACGGACCTATGGGGTTCAAGAATGGAAAGGAAAGAAGTAAACTATAATGCTTTGAACGCCACTTATCAACTGGTAACGACCAATTTAATTGTTGATCTGCCGACTTGCGCCAGAAAATCACACATTCTTTTCTTAACCAAACTTTTTATTAATTACATTGTCTGATAATTTTTAAGACACTTGAATTTTGTTTGTTTTTATTTTAATGTTGTAAATAAATTGTCTCAATACATTCAGAATTGCTGAAAAAATTTAATATTTGTCTGCTTGTACCTGAAACTGAAACAGTACTCATTGTAAGAATGCTGTTAGCAGTACCAATTCCCTAAAATAAGTAATAGAAAGAGCAAAGTAAGGTAATGAAGTTTTAGTAAAGTAATAAAAAAAGTCGTAGGTAAAGTAGTGTAAGCAGCTTGCGTAATTAGCCTTACTGACACTCGTAGAAGTTTTTAAGGCTCGAACCTTGGTTTTAAAGGAACGATCCTTGATCCTTTTAAAGACTATCTTTGAGCGATTGTTGTGTAAACTACTATTATTTCCTTCCTTATCTTAAATTTTTTTATAGTAGATCTTACAAATAATCTTAGTGTAGTTTATAATCTTACCAATCACCATCATGATCTTGTACTATCAAGGTTTGGCATGATCAAAGATATCAGTAATTTACATCAATGGCTCAATTTGAACTAGTTAGTTTTGATTCCTAACTTTTAGCTAGGGAAATGTAATGTCCACTTGTATCCATAGTCAAAGATCAACCCTCAACTCAAACCTTGGAAATCATCAAGAGTTTCATAGTAATTTGACAAAAACATATTGCCTAAGTAGCCTGTATCTTTGTCTAGTTCATGGCTTCTTGAGTTTAGCAGTGAGGCGGTGATGTCGGCGTCACTTGGTCGGTGCAGGTAGAGTGGCGGGAGGAGTGGTGGTGGTGCGCGGCGCGCTGACTGGTGGCCGCTTGGCGCAACACACCGCGTGGTGCGTCTCCCAGTCCTTGTGTTGGCAGAAGGCGCCACAGTAGCGCGCCACGTTACACCCGCTGCAAGTCTCGTTGGCCTTCCGACCGCAGTTCCAGCAACTCTGCAACGTTACTAGATGTTGGGAAAAGAATTTATACCGTTTATAGTTGCTCTGGTGAGGCCGAGTATTTTGATTTCACCATAGATTTAATCAGAGGTCAAACCTATTTAAATGTCAAGTCCTAAAGGGTTCTTTAAAACTTAAGTAGGTACCAAATTTTAAGTTGATATATCGATGATTATGAGTAACGATGACAAATTTGCTCACACATAATTCATGCAAGCATAATTCAACAAAGTACTGCTGAAACTTGGCCACCTGGAAATTACCAGGCTGTTAATCTAGAGAACATCTTGGCTGTTATTTAGATGCGTTGCAGCAATCCTAAATGTTGGCCAATATTTTTTCCAATTCATTGATGTGGTCAACTCCCGAAGGCCAGAATTGGACAGCCTACTTTTACTGTGAAAGCCTACCTTCCAGCTTCCTTTAATGAAATCCTTTTTCCCCAAAGAATTAAAAGTCACTGAAGGTTTTCTCTACACAAAAATATAAGTTTTAGTAAAGATAGGTTTGGTTGAACATTTGAATGATTGCTTATTCTCACTACAATTTTGTTGTAACAATTTACAGGTCCCTTCTGCTTCTGTAACAGGCCCTTTTTGATTTCTTGAACGATTGTCAAAAGAGATCATTAAACTTACATTCTGTTGTGACGGGGTGGGGGGAGATTCAGTTCTGTCGGCTGCTACAGTCACTGCCTCTTCAACAGCGTGTTTCCGCGCGTCGGCCACCAGCTTCTCCACCTTGGCTCGCTCAGATGCCACCAACTCGCACGCCTTTGTCTCCGCCGCCGCGACGGCCCGTTGTAACTCTGCCACTGCTTGCCTCTTCACCTCGTTCACCGCCTCTTCTGGGGACACCACATGCGTTACACACCGTTCTCAACCCACTTAGAGCAAGTGAAACATTGAAGCGAACGTGGCAAATAATCACACTCAATCTTCGTTATGATTAAATCTTAGATTTCAATAAGTCCAGTGAATGATGGCACAAATTTATAATTTTACACATCATGTTGAGTAAAATATACCCATGTGTAAGTGGACAGCTGTGCAGTGGAGCAGGAACATATGGGAACGGGGTTCCCACACTGCTTTTTCTAACAGTCCTATATGTTATTCCTATATGTTAGCCAGTTCTTAGATGATTGTGAGCGTCCCAAAACTGGACATTTTACAACTACACCACTGTTAGTGGATACAAGTGCCAATACCATGACCTAGTACAGCATCATTGAACCTGCTGATTGGGAAAAGGAATTGCAAAAAATATATTCCAGGAACCAGTCTGAAAACGTATCAGTGGCTAGACTAATTAGCCTCCAATGTTTGTAAATGTTACTCATGTACCTGCTTTCCTTCGCACCTCAGCGACCCTGTCCTCCGTCAGCCTGATGGTGTGAGCCATGATCTCGCTGGCCGTGCGCTTGACATCGTCTGCTGAGGGATGCCCCGCTACAGCGCCGCCACTGGGGGTCGTCCTCCGCCACTCTGCTCCACCACCATCACTAGACCTCTGCTGTAGGATTGTCAGGGCTCGCTTGGTCTTCTCTACCATACTTAGGATACAGTTAAGCATCTGGAATGTATAAAAATACCACAATGCACCATAATACTAGCAAACCAATTGGTAAAACCTTTGAAATATTGTATTGCATAACAAGTCGACTGAAATTACTTAATTTTAGGGATATGATATAAGTATCTACACAACCAGTGTATATGTAACAATTTCCAATCACTAGACGTCCAGCTATACAATAAACAAAACAATCTTACTGCTTCGTATGGGTAGATTGCAGCTAAAGTTCTCAAAATGTTTAGTGCGACTTACGCTCTTCAAAAAATATTATAAATTCATAACATTTTTGTACAATTTGAGACTTACCTATTGAAATTGGCTCAACAAAAAAGTAGTTAGCACCACAAATGTTACGTGAGCTACCAGTATTCCCATGTTAAAGTTGAATCCTAGGTTTTGAATAAAAGTAACATAGTGGAAATGAACAACCTACATAGTGTGCTGGTGTAGATTACTGATTTCTGTCTTTAACACGCAAGACATTTAAAGAGGATTATTGGGGGTGCAGGGAAGAGAAAATCCCATCACAAGGTATGTGGGAAAAGGCACAATTATCTCTCATGCCCATAGCACATCACATGCAAACCGTGGGTTCATTCAAATATAATCTATTTCAATTACAAATTGAATACAGCTGGTCTACATAGCTAACTTCAGTATCAAAAAGTCTACGCTAAGGTTCATCAGTAACCCCTACCCGCTTGAATTACTGTTCACGTTGCATATGTATGCGTTATACATATTCTGGTGCGTAACGTACTCACCACGTGGATATTCTTCCACTCGTCCTCGCCGTAGCTGCGTCTCGCCTCCTCCGTCTCTCTGTGAGGGTGATGGTACGGAGGGTAAGGTGTGGAGGGATGATAGTCCGGATGAAGCAGATGGGTCGGAGGTAGTGCCAGAGGGTGAAGTGGAAACAGCAGGCCGGAGTGGTGAGGCCTCTTAGGAGCCGGGGGAAGGTAGACAGCGTCCTCCAATCCGTTCTCATAGTAGCTGCAACAATACTAGTGAATATTGGGTGTTTACAAGTAAAAAGTCGGAGGTAATCACTCTGTGAACGTTGTCAGCTCTACGGTGGGGAGACTGTAGACTGGGTGTTATACTGATGTAAGGGAAATGTTAATTAAATTTAAATTATTTAAATTCACAGAATATATAATGTACATATAATATCATGATCAATGGCTAACTAGTTTGACTGTTATTACACTTCACCTTGTTGGCAGAACTGGAGAACAGCTGTTAATTAACTAAAGTCATTTTTGTAATGAGCTATTTCTTCAAATCTTTCTTAGTTGGCTGATTCCCTTAAAAATTGTACAAACTCGTGAAAATGTAAGTAGAAAACATTTTAAATATAAGAAATTGATTTATGTAGTATTGTATTGTTAATAATCTTGTTTACCATGTTTTTACCTATGATTATATATATTCTTTTGATTGTCTGTCAGTTAATAACTTTGTAAATGTCAAATATTAAATACTCAACTTTCATGTTACATTTGGATTGAAAAAGCACATGTTCTGAGAATATTTTATAAATTGTAAAATCACCTTAAATTAATTATGTTTGCCTCAATTATGTGAAATTAGTATTACTTTAGTTTACCTGTTATTATTTCTTTTGAAATTGTTACAGACGAGTTCAAGCATTAGGCCTACTGTACTTGAAACAGTCATAGTCCGTAGGAACTGGGAATCACAGCCTATTTAAGCCAGTCAAACCGTAGGAATTTTACCAAGTAAGACTGTTGCCATTTAATTACTGATATAGTAATATTAGGTATCATTTATAAGGAAGATTATAAAGCATTTTCATTATTTTGAAGAATAAAAGTATAATTTGTTATAACCATGCATTGGAGTAATTTGTGCAGCATCCTACCATTTGAGGGGAAACACCAAATGATAGGTTATCTCAGCAAACACCATCTTAGCTGTTAGCTTGGTGTTGAAGAATAATAATTCTAAATTAAATCTTGCCTACCTACTCTCCGGTGATTGGCCTATACAGGGGTACTGGGTAGCGTATAGAAGTGCGCAACTCTGCTATTTTATTATTAATTTCAACCCTTGCGCTTATTTAAAACCTAGACATTGTGGTGAACTTTGCTAACCTCAAGATAACTTTGCTAGCCTACAAGAAAATTTTAAGAAGTGACATAACTTCTGCCATAAAATTAGTTTGTTTCAGCAAGTGATTCATATAAACTGCCAAAATTATTCTGTGTATGAATAGGTCTAGTAATTTCCGACAATGGAAAAATTCAATTTAAATTATTTAAGTAAAGATGAACTTAAGTATGAAATTTTAAGTAGAGGAGAAGATTCTACCTTTGACAACGTAGAAGCACTCAGGAAACAGCTCAGATCTATTTTACAGGTTCAACCAGATGTGAACAATCTTATTGGGAAATTAGCTTTAAGTACTGAACTTCAAACCGTAGAAATTAAGGCAGATCGATTTCAGCTACTTATAGAACAGTGTGATACCCAACCGAGCAACCTGTACATAGCAAGAATGTCAGCTCTATGTACTCATCTGCACCTTAGAATAAGTAATATAAGCGCATGTATGTTAGGTCCAAACTACTTCGGTAAGTTGGACAAATTGAAGGCCAAGTTACAAGAACTGCAAAGCAAATTTGATGAAATCAAAAACCAAGTATCTTTACCTGAATTGAACCAATATCAAGAGGATTTAAATAAGTCAATCGTCGAGGAAGAAAACTTAGTTGAACAGTTAACTAGCCCGACAAAACCTAACAGGCCTAACCTAAATCATACTTCTACACCGGAAGGGACGAATCAAGAAACTACAATTAAACCTATAGAGCCTACTGAAACTAACCTAAATGAAAACCCAAACATGCAAAATAATATGTTAAATATGCCTACAAATCCTAATCACACGCAAATACACACCATGCCTATATACAAGTTACCTAACCCCGATGAAGGTTATCTCAGTAAGATCACAGAATGCAATGAACTCGAATTGACCCCCTTGCTTTCATTTTTACGAAATGCAATAATAAGCAAAAATGAAGCTAACATCACTGATCAACATTTGTATGGCATCTGGCCTAATCACACAAAACGGCCCTTGAGCAAAAAAATCGTGGAATGTAAAATTGTTGGATTCACAATGAATAAGGTAGGCCTACTTGAATCAATCGTAGAAACCTATGTTCCTGTGACGTTAAAGGAAGAAGATGTACCAGATCAAAAGGAAAAAGAACTCGATTTACAAGTCAGCCTAAATACTGCCATCAATGCATCGACCAAAACATCCAACTTCAAATTGATGTTTGACCATGAGCCCAGCTGTGCGCTAACCAACCTGTGGGACAGTAAGAGTCTGCTATGCAGCGACCTAACAATGGAAGAAATGAAGCAAAGCCTGAACCAAAGCATGAGAAATTCAAGAAACTGTGTGAAATTCGACAGACATTGGTGGAGATTATCGCCTAAGAGAGCAAAACATCCATTTAAGTTAAAGTCTCATGTACTTATTCGTACACATTACTTAAGCAATGAGGCCAAGAAGTTTCGTAAGAAAGGTTAAGTAAATGTTTAGTTCAATGCAACCCATGAGTGTAGGCCTAGTTAGTTTGTTATTTCAGGTCATAATTTAGGTCACGGGTTTTATCATGAAAGCAAAGTCCAACTTGTAGATACTTGAAACTTGAATGGAATGATGCCAGGGTTGCAACTTTAGTAGAAAAAGGGAAAAGTTATGTTATTATTAAGATTGATGTATAATTAATTAAGATCGTAGGGACAGAAATTTTTTTGTTATTTTAATATTGTTAAGTTAGGCCTAGTGATTTGAAATGAAAATTTTATGGAGTTCGCTAATAAGTTATTGCACCACAGTATGATTGTATAAATCCGTGAATGTTTGTGACACGAATGGTTTGTATGTTTGTATGATTTGAATGGTAAGTTACTTTTAGATTTAAGGAACACTTTAACTACACTAGACACTTTCACACACAAAAAAAACACAAAACTATAAATTTAAAGTAAAACATCACACGACACACAAAACACAACACACTAGTTAGCTATTCAAAACTGAAATGGCGATTTGGATTTCTCTTTAAAACAAATCACATGATGCTATTTTCCAGGTTGGCCAACACAGAGTTTTTTATTTGAGATTTTGAATGTTGATAAAACAAATGAAAAATGAGTTCTATGATCTTAATGTTATACAATTTCTTAATTGTCAGGGTATATGACTTAAATGTATTTGTAAATAGTTTGTTAGGACAAGAAACATGAACATTTTGAATTATTTAAAAAGATGATTATTGATTATCAATAAAGATATTGCTTTGAATGTTGGTAGCACCGTAGCACGCATGTTGAAGGAATTGATTATCTTGTTTGATGCTGCTGTCTATTAGCCTCTGTTGGAACTATGTTGGATAATATTAATGTTCTGTTCTGTATAGCTATCTCGCGGTGAATTTTGGTACTAAATACTCATCGCAAAGAACACCGCATAGTTATAGAAAAGTTCACAGATGGGAAATATATATTTTCTTTTTTCATTTTGAATTTGAATTGTGTAGATATAAGTAAAAATTTTGTTGTGAAGATTAGTATGTTTATTTCTTTGATTTGTATAAAGAGATTTTAGTTGGATTTTAAAATAATTCAAATTTAAAAAGAGGTAGAGGGATATTTTATACTGATGTAAGGGAAATGTTAATTAAATTTAAATTATTTAAATTCACAGAATATATAATGTACATATAATATCATGATCAATGGCTAACTAGTTTGACTGTTATTACACTTCACCTTGTTGGCAGAACTGGAGAACAGCTGTTAATTAACTAAAGTCATTTTTGTAATGAGCTATTTCTTCAAATCTTTCTTAGTTGGCTGATTCCCTTAAAAATTGTACAAACTCGTGAAAATGTAAGTAGAAAACATTTTAAATATAAGAAATTGATTTATGTAGTATTGTATTGTTAATAATCTTGTTTACCATGTTTTTACCTATGATTATATATATTCTTTTGATTGTCTGTCAGTTAATAACTTTGTAAATGTCAAATATTAAATACTCAACTTTCATGTTACATTTGGATTGAAAAAGCACATGTTCTGAGAATATTTTATAAATTGTAAAATCACCTTAAATTAATTATGTTTGCCTCAATTATGTGAAATTAGTATTACTTTAGTTTACCTGTTATTATTTCTTTTGAAATTGTTACAGACGAGTTCAAGCATTAGGCCTACTGTACTTGAAACAGTCATAGTCCGTAGGAACTGGGAATCACAGCCTATTTAAGCCAGTCAAACCGTAGGAATTTTACCAAGTAAGACTGTTGCCATTTAATTACTGATATAGTAATATTAGGTATCATTTATAAGGAAGATTATAAAGCATTTTCATTATTTTGAAGAACAAAAGTATAATTTGTTATAACCATGCATTGGAGTAATTTGTGCAGCATCCTACCATTTGAGGGGAAACACCGAATGATAGGTTATCTCAGCAAACACCATCTTAGCTGTTAGCTTGGTGTTGAAGAATAATAATTCTAAATTAAATCTTGCCTACCTACTCTCCGGTGATTGGCCTATACAGGGGTACTGGGTAGCGTATAGTGTTTAAGTTGATTATAGATCATAGATCAAACAAGTTAAGGAGTGCAGTATTTTGTAGATGGAATTTTCTAACTGAATTGAAACAAAACAGTCTTTTACACAAAAGAAGGTTAGACTTAGAAGAGTAGTTTAATCAAACATTGACTACAACAACTTTTAGAGTACGTGGACTTATGAAGCATTCTTTTTCTTGAAGTACAATCCTATTGAGCCTAAGAGGGCTGTAATTTAAAATTATTCCGAACTCTTTCAGTTGAACTTTGAATCTAGTAAGAAGGAACAAAACTTGTTGAGAAAAGCACAACAATTAACTTTAAAAGCTGAAAGATAGAGGAAATCTGAAGATAGATCTGAAGAAG